TCTGTTAGCGCGTTTAGGCGTCGTCTTGAACTCGTCTAGTCTCGCGGCTAGAATGGCTTCTGTTAGCGCGTTTAGGCGTCGTCTTGAGCTCGTCTAGTCTCGCGGCTAGAATGGCTTCTGTTAGCGCGTTTAGGCGTCGTCTTGAACTCGTCTAGTCTCGCGGCTAGAATGGCCTCTGTTAGCGCGTTTAGGCGTCGTCTTGAACTTGTCTAGTCTCGCGGCTCGAATGGCTTCTGTTAGCGCGTTTAGGCGTCGTCTTGAGCTCGTCTAGTAATACGACTAAGTCGTCTCCTGTGAGAGCACGTTTAGGCGCCACCTTGAGCGCATCTAGTAGCGCGGCTAAGACGTCGTCTGCAGGAGCGCGTTTAGCGGTCACCATGAGCGGATCTAGTAGCGCGGCTAAGACGTCGTCTGCTGGAGCGCGTTTAGCGGTCACCTTGGACGGATCTAGTAGCGCGGCTAAGACGTCGTCTGCTGGAGCACGTTTAGCGGTCACCTTGAGTGAATCTAGTAGCTCGACTTGATCTTTACTTGATCTGGTTGACCGACTGAGATACGCATTTAGCAGGCACCATGAGCGAATCTAGTAGCTCGACTTGAACGTTGCCTGATCTAGTCGACCGATTAAGATGCGCGTTTAGCAGGCATCCTTTTATCTTCTCCTAACCGCTTTCCGGTTTAGTTTCAGCCGCTTCTCGATTTAACTCCGGTTGAATTTTGGTTCGTCTCAAAGGATGTACTTGGTCGGTTTATTGGAGGCAGTGAACTAGACACATTCATGCCTGTGACGATTTAGGCAAGTTTACTTTGAACTTATGCCGAGCTATTGCCGACCCAAAGTTTTGTGTTGGGACCGTGCCGGCTTTGACAGCAAACTGATCAATGAGAAAAAAACGCCTGCGGGATTCGCGCAGCCAGGAGGTCACTCGCGAGATGCTGCGTGTTGAGGCGGCAATGACCAACAAGCTTAGCCGCTGCATCGATCGCGTCCGAGCTTATCTTAAGCAGTGTAGTCTCTCTCACAGGAGTAGAGTTTGCTTGAGCAGGCTTCCGAGACGAGGAAGTGTCTCGAGATGATCAAGGAGGAGAAGTCTTTCCCCGTTTGTTCTCCCTTCTAGGTTCGTGAATGAAGAGTTTGTGGCTACGCCTGACCCGTATGGGTCAAACGATGATCTAGTTAGGTCGGAAACGGCCTCGCAGCTCCGGACGCCCTGCGATGTCCTCGGGGAGAGTCGACAGGTAAGTCGCGTGAGAATCCAGTCGACGCGGCTCCGTCTTGTAAGGAGTCAGGTCCAAACCTTGGTGAAGAGACTATTGAGAAGAATGATATCACGGTTCGTGAAGGTCGTCTGAAGGACGTTGACTCAGCGAAGTCTGTCGAGGTTTCTGATTCTCCTTCCGAGAGAGAGGAGGAGAATGACAGGGTAGAAGAGTCTCCATCCCCTCTCCTTGTTAGGACAGGAGAGCCGTTAAAGGAGCAAGAGGAGTCGGACCTTGCTGGGAAGCTACCCTCGCCGATACCGATTGAGCAGGGGAAGTAATCTGAGGAAGACGAGGGAGAGAAGCTGGCGCTTCCGGCTGATTCTCCGAAGAG